ATTTTTAATGTAGCAAACAATTTCTGTTTCAAAGAAATGCTGTTCTTTTAAACTTTCGATTCATCATCCTGAAAAATCCTTTAAAAAATGTTTACATTTCCACAAAATTATTAAGCAGCAAGACCATAAGAAATGTTTCTTTAGCACCAAATCAACATATCAGATTTGAGATTTCTGAAGGATCATTCATGTGACACTGTGACTGGAGTAATGGCTTCTGAAAATTCAGCATTGGCATCATAAAACCCCCCCCGCAATGTTCAATAATATTCAGATAAAAATTTGTTGTTTTTTTTCTGTATTTTTGATGAAACATAAGAGACAAAAATGTTACCAACCCAAAAATGTGAACAGTAGTGTGTACATGAACTCTCTAGCAAATGGTGTGTATGTGGGAGAGGAAGCAAGCAGGGACACTCAATTACAGATGCACAGACAGTTTGTGGTTCATATCACATTCACACCTGCACTAAATAGCAAGTAGAGACTCTTTAACCCTAAACCCTTGCACAGCTCCAGGACTGTGGGTTCAGTCTCATGAGGAATCAGACATGGACAGCAGGTGGATCTCATGTCTTCTGAGGGGAGGATCTTAAGTCTAATAGTGCAGTGCTTGTGTTCAGAATGCATGTTGTGCTAGTGGATCAATATTCAATGCTTAGCCACAAACACGCAGAGCAGTTACTTTATCTGAAATCAATGTGCGTGTATGATGCTGTGGGATGGCAGCATGTAGAGCCGACGGGCTGAAACCCACAGCATTCATTAATCTGCACTGCAGCGATGAGGACCAACCACAAAACAAGAGTTCACATTTACATCCTTCTTTAAAAACCTGGCCAAAGATCAGACCTGGAGGTCTGACAGTCTAAAGTGATGCACCAAAGAACCAGTTTTATTTAGATGGCTTAAATTCTAGAATCTCATCAAGATTCATATGAATTATTTTAAATCAATATGAAACAATTGTGTTGAACTTCTTCTTTATCTGGGACAGTTACTGTGTCTCAGATTTAAAGTTTAACTTGAAGATTAAATTTGCTAGCCTGGACATTGTCTATACATGGAGCATTTTATGTGCATTATTTCATGGGGCACTAATTCAGAACTATTATTAATCAACAACTTTTTATTAACAACTTTTAATCTGTGAAAAGCCCCAAAGTTTTATCACTAAATGTATTATTCTGTTCTGTTGATACTTAAGCTGTAACATTTTTTAAGACAAACTTGGTGACATCGGGCTCAATAATCCCCTTTTTCCTAACTCACTGTCCCTGAAGCACTGTTTACAGAACACGCAAATGCCAAATCTGTAAGCCTTCCCAAGGCTTTGTCAGAAACACACACTTTCTGGGTAAAAAAGCACTGATTTGCAACCATTTACAGACCATTTATCTCAGAGACATTACATAAAATTATCAAAATATTCATGATTTATATAAAAACCCTACAAATTCAATTCCAGGAACATAATATATATATATATACACCTTGCTACGTGTACTGCGTTAGGC